CTGCTATTATCTTTTCCCTTCTGTTTGAAGAAATTCCTTGAGCCATTCTTTTTTTTTATTTTTAAGATTTTATTTTTAAGTAATCTCTACACCCAAACTGTGGCTTGAGCTCATGACCCTGAGATCAAGAATTGTATGTCTATTGGCTGAGCCAGCCAGGTGCCCCCCGTTAGCCATTCTTTCGAGTTAGACCTACTAGCAATAACTTCGCTTAGTTTTCCTTCATCTGAGAATGTCTTTATTTCCCATTCATTCTTAAGGGATATTTTCACTAGATACAGTTGATAATTCATTTCTTTGAGCACATGAAAAATGTCATGTCACTTCCAATTTCAGATGAGAAATCTTCTGTCATTCAAATTGGTATGTCTATAGATTATAGGTTATTTTTCTGTTGGCTGCTTTCAAGATTTTTTCTTTTTCTTTAGATTTTTAATCTTCTTGGTATATAGGGCCTTTTTTTGGATTTTTAACTCATCATGTGTCTTGTTATTGATTGCTTGAATTTATCATGTCCGGGATTTGCTCAAGTTCTTGAATTTGTAGGTTTGTGACTTTCACCAAATTTGAAAAGTTTTCAGCCACGATTATTTCTTTAAATATTTTTTTCAGCTTCACACTCTTTCTGAGACTTTAAGGATATGAATATTATGTGTTTTGTTATTGATACATAGATCTCTGAGTCTGTTCATTTTTTTTTAGTCAATTTTTTCTGTTTTTCAAAAAGGGTAATTTCTATTGTTCTACCCTTTAGTTCATTGATTCTCTCCCTTATCACTTTTATTGCACTACTGAGCCCATCTAGTGAGATTTTTTTTAATTGGAGCTTTTAAGTCCTACAATTTCCATTTGGTTCTTCTCTATATTCTCTATTTTTTGGTAAATTAAAAAATTTTTTGCTTTAAGAGTACTGTAATTGCTCATTAAAGCATTTTTGTTATGCCTGCTTTAAAATCTTTATTGAATAATTCCAATGTTTGTGTCATCTCTATATTGACATCTGTTGATTATCTTTTCTTTTCTTTTTTTTTTAAGATTTATGTATTTATTTGAGAGAGACAGAGAGTGCAGGGAGGGGCAGACAGAGAGGGAGAGAGAAACCTCAAGCAAACTCCCTGCTGAGCATGGAGCCCAATGTGGGGTTCAATCCCAGGACACTGAGATCATGACCTGAGCTGAAATCAAGAGCCAGCCGCTTAACTGACTGAGACACACAGGCGCCCTGTTGATTGTCTTTTCTCATTCAAGTTGTAATTTTCTCTGTTCTTGGTATGATGAGTGATTTTCCATTGTATTGTAGACATTTTGTATAGTATGTTAGGACGCTCTAGATCTTGTTTAAATTTTCTATTTTAAGTCATACTGTTTAGGTTTATCACATAAATTCTGGCCCACTTTTGTGGGCTGTGGTTCCAATAACAACTTAGTTTTCAGAGCCTTGACTGTTCTATTCTGGTCTGCTTTGTTTACCTGGTATTACTGGTATTCTTCCTTGCTCCCTGTTGGTGCTGCCTGAAAAGACAGAAGGTACTTTTTCGGACTGCCCAGGGACCCTGGGTCAGGGGTGGGAGATGTCAAGCCAACAGGGCAGCGACCACTTTGCCTGGCCTGCTCACCAGCAGCCCTGTACTGGGGGCTAGGAGAGGGGACTTCTGCCCGCACCAAGCCACCTTTTGCCCCTGGGCGAGGGGCTGGGAGGCACCTGTCCCAAGGACCGTGAATAGCCATTGGCGCACTGAAGGCAATGGCAGGCCTGGAGACCCTAGAATTTGTATACAGACTGTTTTTCTTCACTGAGATCTTTTATGGAATTGAAATTTTATTTCCCTCTGGAGCCACATTTTCACTGTAAGTCAGACAATAGAGCTGTCATATTTCTGAAAACTGCTTTCCTGAAATCTTCACCTGGACTCACCAGAATTTACTCCAGGGATGCTCATTCTAGTTTACTGGAAGCGTCATTCATTCTCTCATCTCAGAAACTCTTCCTCATTGGTGAAATCCACATTGGAGTTGATGTTCCTTTGCAGTTTTTCTACCCTCTTAGAAATCAGCATAGAGGGTAAAGAATTTCAGACTTTCTGCTTTGTAAGCAAGTTAGTTAAATGCCCACAGATTCAAAGTTCCCAGTTTCTACTTTGCCTCTATGTTACATGAGAGCTCTACTTAAAAGAGCATTCTGGGCCTGAGTGGACACCCCCAAACTATTCCCATCCATACTACAATGTTTGTTTTTCCTCTCACTATCTTCACTCAAATGCCTTCCATTTTTCCTATCATCCAGTTTGAAAATATCTATTTTCCATGCTGGCCCTATAACATCTGTGCCTCTGAACACACTATCTTTCTATTCCATAATTTCCTTAAGTTTAGTGCTGTCTATGAGATCGTATTCATCGTCCACCATCTTCTGTTAAATATGAGGCTTCCCTTGTACGTTACCCATCCTCGCCATTATCGTATGCTTGCCTGAGGTCTGAAGTTGCATTCCCGATGCTTTTCCAACACTTCTAAACTGACACTGTTACTCTGCACGTATTCAGGACCCAGACCTCTGTGGCTACTCATTCATCCATTCATTCATCATCTTTCCAGCTCATGTTGTGTGGTTGATACCGTGTTGGTGCTGGACGGCACCCCTAGAAGCTTCCAGAATATGGTGGGGGGAGGAGGGAAACTGAGACATAAACAGACACAGTTCAGGATGATGGATGCCATATCAGATGGAAACACAGAGCGATGTGGGGAAGTAGAGCAAGGTTCCACCTAAGCCAGGGGAGTCAGAGAATGTATCTTGGAGCAGGAGAAGCTCCACTATGCTCCCAAAGGATGAGGAGGAATTAGTTGTGTAGGGCGGGGGGAAGCAGGGTTGTATTTTCAGAGAAATACATGACCTGGAGTGAGAAGGGTGTAATGACATGTGGTCTGGCCTGCCTGTGGCTCAGGGTCCACGTGGGGTGTGGTGTGAAGGTACAGCCACCGGAGAACCGGTGGGCAGCAGGTCTTCCTGTTTGTCCCAAGGACCGTGAACAGCCATTGGCGCACTGAAGGCAAGGAAGTGACTTGGCCAGGTTGTGTGTTAGAGAGTTCACTCGGGCTACTGTGTGGGGCCCCAATTTGGGGGGGCGCAATGCAGGGGAGACTGTGCTAGAATAAGCATACCCAAGTGCCACTAACTAAAATACCACCCAACCAAGAAATCATTCCTCTTGCTGCTGCTGAAGCCGTCTTGAGACCACCATGCTTTAGACGATGCTAAAGCAGGGGTTTCTGTTCTGCAGGTGGCTGGAAGCAGTATCAGCAGAATAGTGAAGGTTCCACAGGTAATAGAAAACAGACTCAAGGTTTATACACATCTATGATGAGTCAACTGAAAACCCACCATCACCTACCACAAAGCAAAAAAAAAAAAAAAAAAAAAAATGTGTTCACGAGCCCCCACTCCTTCCCCTGGGATGCCCACCTATGATCCCTTTGCCCTTCACATCTGCCCTTGGGGTGCATTTCAGCTGCATTTTTCCAAGGGCAACTGTCTATGTAGGCTAGTGAGGCAAGCTCAGGCCTTGGGGTTAGATGGACCCAGGGGCATGTGCCTGTTGTGTTGCCCTAACTTCTCTGAACCCCAAGTCTGTATAAGAGGATGATCACACCTACCTTGCAGGATTGCCAGAAGCATTATAGATGATATCAGACAATGCCCGGCACAGAGTAGGTGCTCTGTCAGTATGAGTGGTGGGAAGCACAGGGCCTTCTGCAGGCTGGCTCCTTGCCTTTGGATGCCCCAAAATGGGGAGACAGCTGGCATGGGGGAAGACTGGTGTTGGAACCAATGTGGCCTCTTTTGTAATGCCCCACACTGGAAACAGCTTGCCAACAGGGAAATGTCCGCATGAATTGCGGCTCTTGTCTTTAAGGAATATTAGGCAGCTGTTAAAAGAAGAGTGAAGAGGCACCTGGGTGGCTTAGTCGGTTAAGCGTCTGCCTTCAGCTCAGGTTATGATCTCGGGGTCCTGGCATCGAGCCCCATGTCGGGCTCTCTGCTCAGTGGGAGCCTGCTTCTCCCTCTCCCTGCCACTCCCCCTGCTTGTGCTCTCTCTCTTTCTCCCTATAAAATAAATAAATAAAATCTTAAAAAACAAAGAGTTAAATCTTTCTCTACAAAACAAAACAACAATAAACAAAAAACTAGAGGAATGTCCATGGGAAATCATTCATTGCAGAAAGCAATGTGCTATATTATATGTAATATGATATCACTTGCATAAAATCAAAAGAAAAAAAGCCATGTCTGTCTAGCAGTGTCTGGGTTTAGCAGTTTCCATGAGCAAGCAGGCTAGGAGGAAGGCCACACCCCAGAATGCCCGCAAAGCTTATGTCAGCAGGTTAGGACGCCAGGGATTGAGGTCCCCTGAAGTCCTTGATTACAAGATTATTAACCCTTGTCATGCTCTCTATGTTGTTTGATAAATTATATTAAGCATGTTTATTTGTGTAATTAAATAATCTAAAGAAAAAAGAAAACAAAAGCCGGGATCTGAGTTCCAAATCTGCGTCTCATCACCTAATAGGTATTTCAACTTCTCCAAACCTCACTCAGAGTTGATAAAGTGGCAACAATCATGCTTCTCCCAAAGTTTTGAAACTTAAGTACGTTAATTCATTAATTCACTTGATAAACATCTCTTGAGAGCCCTCTATCACCAGGCACTGTGCTGGGACTTCGGGCTGCACCTGGTTTAAGGACTGCCTTCTGCCACCTGATAATGTGGGGCCCGGGAGTTTGCCCAGCCACACCAATGAGTGACCGACAATGGCACTTCTTGGCTTGTGGCACAAGGGGGATCAGGGGGAGGATTTGGGGGTAGCGGGACTTTGTGTCTTTGCCCTCGGCCTTCTCGGGGGAGCCGTCTGCTCAAACAGAGCAGGGATTCTGACACAGGTTGCGGCCCCCTGGTCTCTGCCTCCTACGGCAGCCACCTCACACCGAGGTTGTGTTTCAGATCCAAAGCCCAAGAAGAGAAAGGGGGTGAACTGCTTCATGGTCATGGTGGCCATCTACCTGATTCTGCTCACCGCAGGTGCTGGGTTGCTGGTGGTGAAAGGTAAAGAGGTCTGGTCCCGTCTGGTGCCTCCTGGGGTGACACAGGGTTCAGATTGAGTGGAAAGCCCTGGGGTCACTGCTGCCCACCTGCTGAGAAGGGGTTCTTAGTCCCTGGGTAGCCAGGTAGCCATGTTGATGGGGCTCGGTGGGAGGGAAGTGATCAGGGGAGTGTGTGTGTGTGTGTGACACACAGAGAGAGAGACACAGAGACAGATCAAGAGAGCGATAGAGAGAGAAAGCACATTCGAGCCTGTGTGCATGAGAACGGTGAACAGTGCGATAATTTCACATGGGTCTGCTGTGTGCGTCTTCCACCAAGTCTCCCCAATGTCTGAGCAGGAAGGGGCTTTATTGATCAGAGAGTTCGTGTTAACATGATTTTACTTACAAAGTGTTCCTGGTCCAAATGTTAAGGTCATGAAGCAATTCCATCTGCAGACACTGAACTCACCCAAGAACATCATGTGCCCAGCCGTCATAAACATATGTCACATGTATATTCGGGCCACATGTGATTACAACAGACCAACATATTGGTCATCATATGTTCATGCCCAGAGCATGCGGGAAGGCTGAAGTTTGATCATGATGCTGTGAGTGCATCCCTAGACTATGTGGGAATATTCTATGAACATGTAACCTCATGCCTAAATGTGGAGTGCCTGTGTGCAGGATACGGAAAGAGCTCTGTGCTCACACTAGGTCCTCATGGCACATGAAATGTGTGTTCAGTATCCAGGACCCACAGAAGTTATGCGCATATGACACAAGAACGTCAGGGATGTGCTCAAATGCCTGGGATTTTAATGAGGTCCCTAAAAGAAGGCTGTGGGGTGGGGATGGGGTGTCCAGTTCTGAATCTGCAGGAGCGGCTCTGGGCCCTAGAGACTCACTTCACCAATGGAACACTGGCCGCCGAGGATGGCCTGTCCTTCTCTTTGCTCCAGTCAATGCCCAAACCACACCTCCCTGGGGGCACACTGGGGCTGCAGGTCCTGCAGGCCCAGATCACTCAGGTTCGCACCAGGCAGGAGCACCTGTTACGGAAGGTGGACAACTTCACTCGGAGCCCAGGTTTGGCCCTCTCCCCTCTGCACTGGGACTCTTCAGGGGATGGAAAGGAGGGGCTGCTGGTTCATGGGAAAAGGGATCCTTGGGCTGGAATCCAAAACCCCTTTCCTGGTGAGGAGAACATTCCAGAACCTTGGGGCCCAAGGAAAGGGGTGAGAGCCATATGAAGTAGGCATGAGATGGCTCTAGAATGTTTGGGAGGATGGGTAAAACAGAGCTTGGAGCAAGTCCCAGGACCACTCCCATGTAGCCAACTAATACTGGCCCATGGCTGGAGAGAGACTAAGGGCAGGCACCAGGAGGTCCAAGTCATGTGGGGACCTCGGAGGGACAGGGCAGTGGGCTTGCTGGGGAAGTGTGATGGCTTGGAAGATAGGGTGGATTTGCCAGGGATCCCCCTCCCCTCGGTTTTCTTGGGGCCTGAGACTGGGCCACGTGAGGTGTTCCTACCACGACACCCACCACTCTCTCAGGCTATGCCGGAACAGGAGGGCTGATTTGGGCAAAAGCAGCTTCTAGGTGTGTCCTCACTATTGCATGGAGCTCCAGCCCTATGTCTGGGGCAAGCTGGGGCTTAAGGGGTGATTCCATGACCGCCGTTCTGTGCCCATGAAAGCATTTGCTGAATGGGCACAGGGTCCAGGTGGGAGAATCCCCCAGAGGCTGCGGTCTTCCCAGTGAGCACAGATGAAGGCTGAGCCAGGATGCGGGGACAGGAGACAGCTGTGACAGATGGGCAGAGTCCAGGCTCAGATGTTCAGATGCTCAGACACAAGGACCATCACTCCCTTCCTTAAGATATGGTGGAGCTGGTTGTGATCAGTATGAGGGGCCTTGCCATTAACCTGAGGCTCTCTCTGAACAGGTTTGGCGCCCAAGTCTTCTGACAATATAGGGTAGACTCCAGGGGTCTCAACCTTCTTTCCCCACTTCTGCAGCTCCCAGGGATCTACAGCTCCCTGGTGCAGATCTTTAGCTGCAAAAAAAATCTGGCTTTTTCTAAAAGCTCATTCCTGGAAAAAACACCCAGGTGTTTGGCTCCTGTTGTCCAAATCCCCCACCTGCCTGAAGCCCTTGCTCCTCAGCCTGGAGGGCAGAGGCTCCCGACTTACAGCTGGGTGCCCTGGGCGCATGCCCTCACAGCCCAGCCTACAACCCTCTCTCCTCCCCTTGCAGAGCTGTTCCGGGTCAAAGGGGAACGAGGCGCTCCAGGTACGTTCATTTCCCCTCTGGCCCATGCCTCCTGCTTGCCACAGCCTTTCCCCACAGACTCCTGGGCTGATGACTTTCTGGGCCCCAACCCCAGCTTACCTTCCATGGGCCCCCACAGCTCCCCACAAACTCACTGGTCCTCCGTTGGGTCGGCTCTCTGTTCCTTGACCTCGCCTGAAGTGGGAAATGGCTTCTTCAGCCACCCCACCCTGCCAAATCTAAGCCGCCTTCCACAGCCAGCCCAAGTGCATCCCTCTCAGGTGCCCTCTCCCCCGGGACCCCAGCTGCAAGTGCAGGACTCCCCCTCTGTCTCCCATAAGCACTGTTTCCAGATGCCTATTACCCAACACGGAGCTTGTCCCCGCATCTGACTACGACCGTTTCCACGGGTGCACGGCTCACGTCTCCTAGAGCACATAACAGGAGGGGCAGCCTCTGGGACCTGAGTTCTAATCCTAGCTCTGCCGCTTCCTGGTTGTGTGACTTTGGGCCAGTGACATCACTTTTCTGGAAGCTCAGCCATTCAGCTGTGTAAAAACTAACGGAGATCATTTTGCTCACCTCCCGGGGTTGCTGTAAGAGGCAAGTGAAGCGATGTGCAAAAAATCCTCCGACAACAGCAAGTGCTTTCTGAGGAAAACACCGGTGCCTTCATTGCTTTTTCTTTCTACCTGAACACACGCAGCATTAGCTGCACACATGTGCACACATGTACACACACTTCACCCCACCCCTACTCCATTCTATCACCGGAGCCGTTGGAATGCCACCTTGAAAATCATTCTACACGGCGTTCTTGGGACAGAACTCTTTGGCCTCATGATTTTTTAAGTTTGGCCCAGACCACGCTGCTGGTCAGCGAGAGTTTCAAGGCAGCCTTGCATGGTGACATGAGAATCCGTTTGCATCCCCGGCACTCCTAGGGACAGACCCTGGCTCTCTCTGGAGCCAGGTGGCTTTGAACAAGTCACTTAACACTTCTGAGCTCAGTGTCCGCCCCTATGAGATGGGGATAAGGATAGGACCTCCTGGGTGGGATTGGGTTAAAACAATGAATGTAAAAATGTGTAGTCCAGTGCCCGGGTCAGAACATGTATTCAGTCGTGTCGGTGTTGTTATTTGCTTTGTTATTTTGTCGGGAAGGTTAAAGGAGCTAATGCTTGGGCAGCTCCAGCCAGATGGATGTTGACTCCTCCCCTCTAAGGAGACGCTGACTCTAAGGAGTCAGGGCTTACACCTCTTCAGATTCCTGCGTTGAAAACCTAACCCCCAACGGGACTGTATTAAGAGGTGGGGTCTTTGGTAGGTGATTTGGCCATGAGAGCAGGGCCCTCTTGAATAGGATTAGTGCCCTTATAAAAGAGCTCCCTTACCCCCCCTTCCACCGAGTGAGGACACGGCGAGAAGTCAGAAGAACCGGACCATGCTAGCAGTTGAATCTTGGACTTGCAGCCTCCAGAACTGTGAGAAATGCATTTCTGTTGTTTATAAGCCACCTGCTCTGCCGTGTTCTGTTACAGCAGCTGGGTGGACTAGAACAGGACAAGGAGCCCCGGCCTACCCTCCTGGGTTGTTGGGAGTCTTGAATCTGCACAGCAGCCCGTGGGAAGGGACAGAACTACATGTGAGTGACAGCAAAAATAGGTGCCACGTGTCCAGAACTGGCTTCCAGGACCATCCTGTGGAGCTGGTACATTAAGTCCATTTTACTGATGAGGAAACTGAAGCTCAAAAGGAAGAAGTAACTTGCACCAGGTCACCCAGCTGAAGGGGTGGTGCTGCTCCTTGAACCTGAGTCCATTTGACGCGCCTCGCTCAGAACATGTCACCTGCACCACTGCGGTTCACCTGTTAGGCCATGAGCTTCTTGGAGGAAGGAGCTCTGCCTTCTCTTTGTTTCCTTCCTTCCACACAGTTTGGCTCATTCTTGGGGCTCAGTGGCAGTGTGTTGAATAAATAACAGTGTGATAAGCAACCTTGTCACCCCACCTTGTGGGTTGGCTCCTGGGTGTCTCTGTTCCTCAGCTTTAGGTCTTCCAGGTCAAAGGGGGCCCAGGGCAGGCTGGGCATTGCATCCCAGGTCTGCCAAGGCCACCGGCTGAGAAGTGGGCCGAGGGGGCCGAGGCGTGCCATGGAGCCATGAACACTGGCCCCTGTCTACCAGCCCCGTAATTCTTTTTGCCCTCCTTGTCCAGGCTTCATTCTGAATCCCTTTTCCTTTCCAGGCCCCCCAGGACTCCAGGGCCCGCCTGGAATCAAGGGAGACGCAGGTGGGTAGGGGCCGGGTGTGTGCACAGGGAGAGGGTCCGGAAGCAGGGGCTTCAGCAGTTTTATACCCCTATGCCTAAGAGACTCGCCTTGTCTTTCCTTTCTCTCTCTCTCTCTCTCTTCTTCTTGTTCTGCAGAGTGAAATGTTGTCACTGTTAGTGTGTGGGGGGGGGATGACACAGAGAGAGGCCCCTCCCCTCATGCTGGGCATCTGGTCCTTCTGTGGGGCTCTAGAACATCCGCTGACTACGGAGCTGAGACTAGTTCTTTCCTTCCTCGCAGGACTCCAAGGACCCAACGGTGCTCCAGGGAAACAGGGAGCCCCTGGTAACGTGTGCCTCCTCTGCTTGGGCTCAGCGGTGCCTTGGCCGAGGTGCTGAGCCAGTCGCCCCGCTACCCCTTCCCCACAGCCCCACCCTCAGCCCCAGAGGGTCGGTGCCCTCCCCCAGTCCTCTGCCTTGGAGTCTTACTGTGCCTCATCGAGACACCCCTAGATGACCTCACCTTCCCCAGACTTCCTCTGGAGGCCCCTTTCTCTTCTCCCCGAATGCCCCCTGCCCCGTGGCCTAGGAGCCCGTCCCAGGAGGATGGCAGGAGCCCACCTTGTTGGCCATTCTCTACCCAGGCACCCCAGGACAGCAGGGAGAGAAGGGGAGCAAAGGCGATGGGGGTCTCATTGGCCTGAAAGGGGAACCTGGAGCTAAGGGCGACAAAGGAGACCTGGGTCTCCCAGGTAAGGGCCCTGTGGGGGTGTCGGTTCTTGTGGGGGGGGCCGCGGGCTGGGTCCTGTCCCTGTGGAAGTGTGTCTGTTCTGTTCCACGGAGGACAAAGCGGCCAAAGCTGGGCTCTGCCTACCAGCCTCCGGGGAACACACATGAGGTCCTTTCTGTCCAGGTGAGTAGAAACCAGGAACATGAAAGCTGAGAGCAGTGTGTGTGGGGGGGGGGGGCAAAATCTCATGCCAGGCACGACCTGTGACAAGTGGGGACACAGGCCATGCTAGGAGCTCGGAGGAGAGGAAGGCAAGGGACAGCGGTGGGACCTGAGGTGGGCACAGGGGAGGAGGGGAGACTGGCTGGCAGGGAAGGAAAAGGGGTTCATTCCAGAAGCAGGTGCTACCTCAGAACTATTTGGGGCATTTATTCAAAGTCCAAGAGTCTGTGTTCCAAAGGCCTGGATGATTCTGATGCTGACAGTCTAGACACTCTGAAAAGCACAGCCCCGGGGGGCTCTGGCCATGACTGAGCACCTTCATGCCCCTTGTCCTTGGCCTCTTGAGGCCCCTTTGGGGGTTTCTGGGGCATAGTAGGGAGAATGAGGCTTGTGCAGCTATTGGGCTTGTTTTGTTTTGTTTGAAGATTTATTTATTTTAGAGAGAGAGAGACCACTCACGCGCATGGGTGGGGGAGGGAAAGAGTGAGAGAGACTCTCAAACAGACACCCCGCTGAGCGCGGAGCCAGATGCTGGATCCCATAACCCTGAGATCCAGACCTGAGCTGAAACCAAGAGTTGGACGCTCAACCACATGCACCACCCAGGTGCCCCAGCTAGTGGGCTTATTTGCCATCCCTGCTCTGCACCTGTTCACTTGCATCTCTAGGCACATTTTTAATCAGTTGAGATTTAGTTTCTTCATTTCAGAAAAGAATGGCAATGAAAATAATAATAATTAAATTACGCATACCTTGTAGGACAGTTACAAGGGCTAGAGATCATGTTTTCAAACTATCTGCCACATGGTTCAACACTAAACAAATGATAACCATTAGAATTAGCAGTATTAGTGATCCTTTCAGGTAGAAAGGGAAGGACTTCAGTTCTAAGATCAGACACATCTGGGTCCTGATACGGCTCACTAGCTGTGCTACCTGAGGCAAATGACTCGACCTCTCTGACCCTCAATTTACTCACCTATAAAAGGGGGATAATAAGAGCAACCTCTAATAGGGATCAGTTGCAACAGGAATATAAGACATAAGGTGTGTGGCGCTGTACCTGCAAATGGGAATATTCGCATTGTAAGAGACTCGGGTGCTTGTCTTCAGGAAGAGAGCACTTACAAGGACGTGTCAGCCTTGCTCAAACATTAGAAAGGCACTTGTGGAAGAGAAAACAGACTCGCTCTGGGTGCCCAGCAATAGAACGAGGATTGATGATCAAGGGTTTCAGGAGAGCCAGTTGTGCCGAGGTAAGGGAGGAGGAAGGCGTTAAGACTTAGGGCTGCGCAGGGATGTACCGGGCAGGCATGCGCGGGGCTCAGGGGCGGCCGCCGTGGGGGCGGGGCAGGGGAGGGGCTGCAGAATTCTTGGCGGGACTGAGCGAAACCTTTGCCCCAAGCGGATGGTTAGACAGTTGACCTCTGAGGGTGTTTCCAAAGGCGGCCCTCCGCAGTTCTCTCTGCAACAGGAAAGGGGGCCCTAGACTTTCTCAAGGTGGCCCTGCCAGCCCCGGGGAAGGGGGGGAATGACAGCCGGCACTTTGCCCGCGGAGTCTGCGCCCTCCTGTTTCCCATCCCACACTCACCCACCGCCACAAACGCACGGTGAGTCTGCGCCAGGGCATGGCGCGCACACTCGGAGGCAGACTCAGGCCTGGAAACGCTGTGGCCACCCCTCCTCTTCCCAAATGTCCTCTCCCAAGATCACAAGATCTCTTTCACTCCGCTCTGGTGGTACCGAGGTTTGGTGCTTTTTGTCCCAGCGGACGGGTAATGACCCTGGTGCAGATCCAGGGGACACGTCTGTTTGCCTCACTTCGCCTTTAGAGGTGATGGGAAGGTTCGGACATCAGGCGCAGCTGGGGTTCCTCCATGGGTGAGTGCCAGACCCTGGTCGTTTCACCCAGAACGCCCAGCTTCCCAGGGCTGCCCCGTTTGATGGAGACATAGCAGTTATGGCCACACACAGCCACACACAGATTCCCGCCCAGACCATGCTCCAGAATCCTCCTACAGCCAAGCAATTCCTGTAACGTGATGGTTCCGGTCGGCCGGGAGCAATCGGGCCCACCAATCAATTCCTCCAGGGAAGTAATTCCTAGTCCCTTCTAACAAATGCCATTTGTCCCTTCTGCCAAAACCGACACACTCAATGACCAAGAACTGCCTTCACTGGGGCTTGCCCCTGAGGCTATAAGAGATCTCAACTGTAACCAAGTTCTCTCTGGTTATTTTGTTTCCCATCAAGGAATAATCATCCTTCAAGTATCTAAACCAGGAAGAATCTATTTCCTAAGCCTTGCCCCTAACATCACCCCAGCATAGACCGGAAAAGCTCTGCATAACCCGTGATTCTTTCCCTCTGCTTCAGACCCTTCTGCCTCCTTTCTTGATTCACTGGAGAGAAGGCTGATATCCCTCTGAGTCCTCCCCTTCTCTATCAAGAAAATAATGGAATGGAGCCTTTTAACCGAATTCCATCACACTAAGCCTGTCCCAGGGCAGAGGGGGCTGCTCGGGGTGGGGCTTCGACTGGCAGGGCTAGCAGGGGCGTGCCGCTGGGTCCAAAACCAAACCCATGGATTGGGAAGGGGTTGCCAGCCCCCTGCTCTCAGGAGCCTCCCTTGATTGATATGTGCCAAGCAGTGGCAGAAAGGAGGAGGGAGCAGTGGAGGACCAAGGTGAGGACAGGCTGGGACGAGCCTCGAATGCAGATGACAAGTGGAAAATTTGAAACCTCGGGCACCAGGAGAGGCTGTGGCTGAAGCACTGGCAGGAATCGGAGCTGCGGCAATGTTCCTCTCCCCACCTATACCTTCGAGTCTCTATTCTCAGCATCTGGGATCGACTTTCTGGAATATTCAGATTTCGGTTTGGGAGGCTTGAAGAACAATTCCCCAAACACAGACACGAAAATGAGCCAGGCAGTGCTGGCTAAGCCTGGGCTGTGGTCCCTCCCAAGGGGTCCGGCGTGCTGACCAGGGTCCTGAGAGCCTGGCTTCCTGGGCCTGCCCGTCAGCCAAGCCAGGTGACCTTGACCATTTTTCACAAGTTCACGTCTTGTCTCTGGGGCAAGGTGGTATGCTCCTTGAGGGCAGCTATTGGATCTTCCACTTGTGGGCTCCAGGTCGGAGGAGCTCAAGGAGTTTGAGTTTGGAATTTGGGTGAGACAAGTGTCAATGGGATCTGGCAGATGGGTTTGCCCTTCTCCTGTGCCTGACCACGACTCCTTGATTTTTCAGGAAGCAAAGGGGACATGGGCATGAAAGGTGACACAGGGGTCATGGGTCCCCCCGGAGCCCAGGGCAGTAAAGGTGACTCAGGGAAGCCAGGCCCCCCAGGTAAGAGGCTGTCCATTGGTCTGTAAGTATTCCCTATCCCCCCTGGCAGCCTGAGCTATAAGAGAACAAAGTCCCTAAAAGTCCTTCTTCATTTCAGGTGTGGCTGGATCTCCTGGAATGAAAGGAGATCAAGGTAAGAACTCTGGGAATCCAGGTATCATTCGAGCTGCCACTGTCCCTGGACAAAATCAAGTCCAGGGCATGTCTTTTATTTCACTGCAGTGTTACCCCAGAGCCCATGGGGTCTCTTAAAACCTGGCTGTGCCCGAGAGGAAGGGGCTTGATTGGCATTCCATCTTAGAGCTTCGCTGCACTCTGCCCCCCAGGGGTGTGGAGCACATGTTCACAACCCAGGGTGCCTGGTGGGTCCCTAAGCCCCAGACACTGCAGAGCGATGGCCGAGATGAACAAATTGCTCAGGCTGTAACCTTTCTCCTGCTGATTGGGCTCATTCGCGGCTTCTAGAGGGAAATGATTAAAGCTGCCCAGGGAACATATAAGGTGGTAGGAGGTACACGTGTCACTGCTGAGAAGAGAGGTGTGTTGGGGCGAGGGGCAGCCAGGCTCTCTGGCGACCGAAGCCAACCTTGCAGTTGTCACTTGTAGGACAACCTGGAGCGAAGGGTCCTCCTGGCTCTCCGGGCGTGGCAGGATCCGCTGGGGCCAAGGGGGAGCCTGGCAGTGCTGGCTCCCCGGGACTAGCAGGTGAGGTCCTCGGTGCTGCAGTGGGCGTGGGGAGTGATGTCTGAAGATCCACAGAGCCCAGCCCTCATGCCATCTGGGCATCTGTTGTATAGGACCAGCAGGGAGACCCGGGAGTCCCGGAGCCAACGGCGTGAAAGGAAGCAAGGGGGACCCAGGTAACAGAGGGTGTGGGTAAAGGGTGGGTGGGATGCTGGGTGTCAGGGATGGACAGGGAGGAGGACTGCCTCCCAGTGCTCCCACCAGAAGGAGGCAGAAGGTCTCCTGTGCTCTGGCCCCAGAAACCCCTGGATTAAGGAAGACACTTTCCTTGGCCAGGGCCCTTTGAGCTCAAAGCCCTAGGGCTGTCCTCTCTCTGCCCAGGGTCCTTGAAAGGCCCCTATGCCATGACCAAACCTCCACCATTAAAGAGAAGGGAAGGGCAGCTGACCCACATTGTCTCCTGGCCTGCCTTCTAGCTGTGTGCATTCTCTCCAGTTAACCTGCAATGGGGTCCCAAGGGTCAGGGCTCTGGATTTGGGGGGGGGTCAAGAAACCCTCTCTTATACATTCTTCCAAAGGGGCTCAGGCTGGGAGGAGTGACCCATAGTAATCACACTCACAGTGACTACTGTATAAACCTTCATGTCAACTTGGTCTACATTATAAACCATTGTGCCAACTTAATCTAGGTTATAAACCAATGTGGTCTACTTTATAAACCTCTACGCCAATTTTGTCTAGTCACTAAGTAAGTCTGAGCAATGGTTTAGAAAGTCTGGACCACTGTGTTGGGTGCTGGGGCACCGTGATGCAGAACACCTGCTTCCTACCCTCACACCTACAGGCTGGTGCAGGAGACAGGTAGACAGACTGTTGCCAGACTGTGCCAGGAACACTCTGTTGTGGCTTTTGCATGGAGAAGTGCCGAATGCCCTTTAGAAAGCCAAGTGCAGCCCGGAGGTGTGTGTTGTAACAGGGCAAGGTCGAGAGAGCAGGCTATGCAGCTGCCTAGGATGGCGTGGACCGTCTGGCACAGCCCCTCGTCTGTCAGAGCAGAAGGTCATGCTGTGTTAGACAGCCTGATGGCCTCATGCAGAGCTGTGTGCAGATGCACACCAGGGGCAGGTCCTCTCAGGGCTCAGCGATCAAGCAGTTGACTGATGGACGGATTGATTCTTTAAACAAATGTGACTTAACTCAGCTAAATGCTTCAGTTTCACAGTGTCCCCTGTCTGGTAGGGGTGGCAAAAGGCAGAGCGGTGTAGGAGTGATGTAAGAGCTTGAGCTGAGTCTTGTGGAATGAGTGGAGCCTGGCCATGGGGAGGAGGGGAAAAGAAATCTAGAGAGAGGGAACAGAGCAGGCAAAGTCATGGAGGAATGAGGGAGGGCTCTGTAGGCTGCTGTCCCCAGCGTCTGGGGTTGGGATGTGAAAGAGGGTCAGGAGCTCTGGCCAGAGGGGTGGGTGGGGGCCACCTCCTGGCTGGCCCTGGTCTCTGGGCCTTCAACCACTGGGGTTTCCTGAAGATTATCGAGAGCTATGGCACAGGCTGCTTTAATACCCGTTGTCCTTCTAGCCCATCCAGCCTCGGAGCTGATTTCTTTTTCACGGACTGTGTGTCAGCGTGGGCTGGGGACCTGCTACCTGATGTCATGTAGATACCACCTGAAGGCACCCAGCAAGGTGTCACGTTCTGGATGTGGTGGTCGGATGTCCCTGCCTTGTTGGCTGCCTCCTCCTGATCTTAAATATTTTCACTTTCCTTGGTCCCAGAGCTTAGGGCGTCTGACTTTAGGGCCTGAGGCTGCCCTACCCCCTGAGTTTTCTGCTTGGCTTCATAGTGATGACAGCTTTCATCCCTCAGTTATAAACAATGAGTCTCTCTCCCCACCCCCCATCCCTACATTGCCAGACTAATGGTTCTTAACTAAGCAAGGATAACAGGGGTAAAACATGATTTTACCCACAAGGGACACTATGCCCCCTCCCCAGGCCCCCAGCCTGTGTCTCTCACTGTCTGAAGGTAGGAGATTTTGCCTTGCACTCCATATCCTGGGAGGGCTTGCAGAAGAAGAGCCGCTCCTGATAATGAGCATCTCCATGACAACCCGGTGGGATAAGCACTCTCGTTAGTGCTATTTCACAGTGACTTGCCCACACTTCAGGAGCCAGGAGGAAGCACAGGCAGAACTGGAATCCTACCATGGCCGACCCAAAGCTTGGGGCCTTATCCATCACACTCTGTCATGCTGTCTTCCCTCCCAGGCAGCCTGAAAGTACCCCCTCCCCCATCAGGCATTCTGATGAGCAACACCTTCTCTCTCCATCCCAGGTCTGGAAGGATTAGAGCTGAGGCTACAGCAGGTTCTTCCATTCCGAGAAGGAAACATGACGTGTTCAGGCCCTGTTATGGCCCACCTTCCTTACAGCACAGAGAACTTTGGCCCACCGCCTGGGGATTGTTTTAACCCCATTATCAAGTTCCCGTACATTTGTTGAGCACCTTTTTGGGGATCTCCATCAATCAGGCCTAGTGGTAAATACCAACCAGGCAAATTCTAAGCCTTATTCCTTAATTCCGCCTACCCAAGTAAACATGGTGATTACATTTTCAATTTGGAGCATGTGATGATTACAACTTATGTAAAATTGCCCAGGTTTCCCACACAAATCCAAATGTTCATCTCCATCTAGTAGCTAACGGTCCCATCTCAAGAGAGAATCTGGCTGCACATAGGCAGGTCTATATATCATCCCGAAGTCAGAGGTTAAGGAACTCTTGGAGAGGTTAGATTTCTCAAGTGGGAAAAGGAAGGATGGGTGGTGATCATGGAAGATAATGCACACTTTTCCATGTCAGGACATTGGTATTCCCCCAACTAGAGGTAGTATGGTGTTTGTCCAGTTTTGATTATATCAAGCCAGTTTTTCAAACCAATTTCCTATTTTGTAAATAAAATCGTTAATCTCTCACGAGAATATCTAGCTTCCCTGGATGAAAACAGAGAAATTATAGTGCCTTGGCTTGACCTAGGTTAACAGCCAGATCCCATTATCGTGCATTAATTATTAAAAAAAAAAGAAGTCTGTTTATGATTAACAATGCCTTTGGGCCAGGCACTATGCTTGGGATTTACTCCTATGATCTTAGCTCATCTGCCTGCACCCCTGAGTTTCATCACCCTTACCTTACAGCCGAGGGAGCAAACACTCCCCGAGGGTGAACAATCTCTTCGGGGTCTCACAGTTAATATACTCTGAATCTCAATCCCAAAGTCAGATCCCAAAGTTGTGCTTTTCCAGATTGTGTTGCATAAAATAACATAGAGTGTAGGACTCTAGAGAAGTTCGAATCACCTGCACCTTCCATTCCACAGTAGATGGGTAAATCCTGGCTCAGTCACCAAATCCTCCTGTTGTAAACGGTCACTTACCATACCCCAACCCATTCAGGTGGAATGTTTCCCCGTGTTGACACCTCTTGAGAGAAAGCAGCCGTCTCAGATTGAAGATGGTGAAGAGGAAATTTTTTTCAGTCTGTCAGGAAGACAAACCGCAACATATCACGTAGGGCATTATCACTCAGCAGAACTTTCTCCAAAGGTCATTTCCTTTACTACTCACAAAGCAGCATTTTACCACACCCCAAAACTTAATTTTTTCTAAACTTCGATCTTTCAAAGGATTTCAGAATTATCTGATTTGGGGGGAAAGATGGCAAAGTACAAAAAAACCCCGCAAAAATTAATTTTAGCTCTAAATCCCTTAGCCATTTGAAAATTTGTTGGGAAATGAGGAAGGGCTCATTTCCTCCTGTCATCTTGGCATTTTGCTTTCGACCATCCCACGTCATGAAATGACATTAAAAGCAGCCAAAACATTTAAGCTCCGAAACACCAGTCTGATCAGAAGTTCTGCATCTCTGCAGCCTTCATGTCAAAAATATAACAAGAATCTGAATTTTCTGTGTCCTTTGATTTTCCTCTTGAGGCAAAGCTAAAATGCAAATAACCTGAAATCCATTTTCTCATCTGTATTTGAAGATATTTTATTGTGAAGGTAAGCAACAAAGAGTAATTCATAATAGTAATTAAGCCCTATATTGTGAATATAATTTCTCAGTTCATTCCAGTCCCCATATCAAAGTACTGAGTTAGTCCCAGAATTTATTACATTCTACCAACTCACATTTCTAAGTTGTCGCTTATGAAACCTGTCTTCACTTTCCTCTAAATCTCTCGGAGATATCTGCAAAAGTCTACATGCATCCCAGTTTTGGTCCCCAACCCGCCACCTTACTTCTGCTACATAGCTCAGTCTGTCAGTTCTTAAATTCATCCTCACTCTGTCAGGCTGCACTTAGCCTGTATGTCAAGATGCTACTTAAGGAGTTTCCTAATGTACTGGAAATTTCTACATTAAATCAGAGCTGGAAGATCTGCTCCCCAACTTGCCCCAGGCCTGAGTTTCCTCCTCTGTGGAATGTGAGGAATAGTCTAGAATAATATCCAGGTCCCTGCTAGCTTGACAGCACTCTGGGTTTGAAACTGGCAATTTCCCCTCAGAGCAGAAACATTTTAAGATTTCAGGCAAAACACCAGCTGAACACTAAACAATAAGGAGATGTGTGCTTTCTGATGAAACGATTTTCTCGGGAGAAAATCATTTCTCTAAATAAACGCCTTGCAAATAAATATTTTGGGTCCCCTCAGCTTGATACGTGTGTGATACCCAGAAAAACTCAGTTAGCTGTGGTTTAAAGGAGAATCCAGCATTTGTTTGCCTCAGAGAAAGGAAGGCTGCTCAAAGGTGAGCTGGGAAGTGGTCCTAAATGTATCAGTGAGGTTTGTTTAGGGCAGTGCTACTCAAAATGTGGTCCTCGGACCAGCAGCATCACCACAACCTGGGAACCTGTTAGGAATGCAGCATCTCAGATCCACTGACTCAGCATCTCTGGGGTGGAGCCTGACAAGCCAGTTTGTTTCGCAAGCCCGGTACATACAGGCAATTCTGATGCATGCCTAGTTCGACTACTCATTTAGGGGGAAGGGATGGCCCAGAGTAGGCTGGGAGTGTCTTTGGAACCAGGTGGATAGCCTGAGTGGAAACTCCAGGAAGATGTGAGTTGCCGTGCTAATGGGCCACAGGGAGCTACAGCGCCCAGTGGGAGACCAAACGTGGGTTACAGCCCAACTTCACCACTCCCTCCCTGTGTGACCTTGGATAAATCACCTTGCATCTGTGGCTGTGGACTTCCTCCCCTTCTGTATAAAGGAAAATGGCACTACCTTGCAGGGCAGCTGAAAGGTGGAATGAGGGTGTGTATAAAGCTCCTAGCAGCGGGCCTGGCTCAGCAGATGCTGAGTCCCTGGGAGGGGAGGGGCTGGGAAGGAGACTGTGAAAACGAGTTGGGGGTGGGGGTCAGGCCATGGGGACCATGGACCTAGGGAATAGGGGAGTCCCTATGATTCCTGTCTATACAGGGTGTGCTTGTCATTTGGTGCTTTGGGGACAGCTGGAGGTGGGCACTTCTTTGGGAGGGGACAATAAAAGGAGGTCACGGGGCCTGGGGCCCCTGCACCTTGCTTCCAGGGACAGACTCTCAAGGTAGAGGTTTCTGCAATATGGCACTCTCTAGGCCACAGACAGAGGGCCAAGTGTCAAGGTCTGGACTGTTTTTCTGTTTACTGACGGCCAAAGGCAGATTTCTGAGTGTGGCTTCTCCTCTCTGATCTTGACACATGCAGTTCAGATGCCGATGAGCAGAGGAAATTTGTGCTGCCTTAGCTGGGTCACCTCAGGTCCCCGGCGAACAATTAGGGGGCTTGTTGGGTAGCGAGCCCAGAGTTTGTCTGGGCCAGGGTCTGTGGTGCTCCCCCCGGAGGCGAGACAGACGCATGTAAACAGGGTCCGTGAGGTCCCTGTGCCAGCACTTACTGAGCACAGGCCAGAAACGAGGCTCAGCCCATGACACAGGCGACTTCATTTCAGTCTCACGACCACCGCTGAGGCAGCCAGGAGACTCAGAGCAAGAAAGTGAGGCTCCCAGAGGGCAGCACCTTGCTCAAGGTCACAGAGGCAGATGCCAGCCCGGGCCGGCTAACTCTGGCCACTTTGCTGCCTCGGGGGGAAGTACGCCATCCACGGGCGAGGCCAGAGAAGGCTTCGCAGTCAGGTGACATCTGACATCTTAGCAGGTCTTACAGGCTTGATCTGAGTTCTCCAGGGGATGGAAGGGGTGAGGCATTCTAAAAAGAGGGACCGGAGCAGGTGTAAATGTCCTGCGGTGGGCTGGGGCCTGCCTGCCAGGGTCTGACATCTGAGTTGAAATTGAACCAACAAATGCTATGGAGCATCTGCTGTGGGTGAGGGCCCCCAGTACCGCTGGCAGCCAATGTGTCCCCTCCACAGTCTTCTAGAAATGAAGATGACTTTATTTTCAAAATATCTCTCACTTCTTTTCCAATAAAATGCAGGCAGGAAGGAATGCGATTGGATTTATACACCAAGTCAGGCTACCATCGGACAAAGAAGGCCGGCCAGTAAATCCAGAGTCCACCTGTCTGTCTAACTCTGACTGTCGTCCACTACCTTTCGACTTCACCCCAACACGTGTCCCCATTTATCTGCGGTCTGTCTCCTTTTAGGCTCTGCTAAGGAGGCTTTAAACAATCGTGGAGAACCAATGTATCTTTCCGTCTGCATTAATCAGACAAAAGGTAGAGGTTGTCTAAGATTAAAAGTGTCTAATATCTAAGTTTTATTATCCCCCCCCCCTGCTTTTGTATTTCGATCTTAGGACTTCAAGGACAGAAAGGAACAAAAGGAGAATCAGGAGCTCCAGGTACAGCGCTGGCTTCATTTTAATTTCTCAGAATGATGTCTGGAAAGCCTCGTGCTTGGAGGGCAGGTCTTGCTGACTTTGAACGTGCTGCTGTAACCTTCCGCCACCGCGGCCGGGGCCCAAGACTGTTTGAGGCTAGAACTCCTGTCCTCTGTCCCTCGAGCCTCAGATTCTTCCCCCCGGAAAACGTGGAGAGGGACAAAACTCAGGGCCCTGAGGCAGGGGAGAGAGGGGCCGAGCGGAGGGTGGGGAAGGGGGAAGAAGGGGCTGGAGAGCTGGTGGTCAGCGGGTGGCTTCAGGCCATGCAGCCTCGGTGGAGCTGGGCAGTCTTCCTCTCCAGGTCCCAGGCTGCAAGACCTCTATCTGCTTCCCCGTGCCTGTGCCGGTCCATCTCGGTCTTCGTTGGTCCCCTGAAGCTCCTCCCACCCTCCTCCTGCTGCTGGCCCCTGGCCTGTTATGATCACCTCGGTTTTCCAAGCCCCTGCCTGTGGTCCGTCCCTGAGCACAGCGCTTCCCACAGAGCAATTCTAGTCTTCTCCACGGCCCCGCCCTGAAGCGTGCCAACGCGAAACTTCTCAGACACAGTTCTTGAACTGTCTTTCTTCCTCCTGAGTTGGATATTTGGTTCCTATTTGAACTTACTAAAGGAGGTCTTGGAGGCCTAGAAACATTCTAGCAAGTTCTCCCAGAATGGCCAGAACTTCCACACAATGAGGTGGTCTGATGAGGACCGACAACCTCTGGAATCCTGTCAGCTGTTTGACCTGTGTGTTGTCAACCAGCACTCATGTGAGAGTCAGTGGGGAGATCAGAGCGATACCCGGCCCCCCCCGCTCACCACCTCTCCCAGGTGGGCCAAAAGCCCAGGCCGAACGGCCAAACAGCCCATTCATGGGGGTGGGGAACGTGCTTATCAAGGCAACCCAGTCATTAAAGACCAAGGTCCTTGGTCTCCCTTGGAAAAGAGAGCAGAACATCTGAGGGAAGCGGTCTCTCTCGTCTCCAGGTCCTGCGGGCACGAAGGGACAAATGGGAAACCCGGGCCTGGTAGGTCTCAAGGGTCCAGCTGGACTGAAAGGCCAAAAGGGAGAGCCTGGGGCAAAAGGTAAGGCCTCAGTCTGTGATCTGTGGGTTCTGAGGAGAGGCCCTGTTGTAAGGGGTTTGGGAGTTTTCGGAACCAGAGGTGTAGAGGTTTATTGGCTCCCTGGACAAGTTCTGGGCTGGGCTTGCCCTCAGCCCTGAGCCCATGGAAGTGAGTGAGGCACAGCCTGGGCACCCAGAGGGGCAGACACGCGAACGTGTGCTTGCGCGACGCCCGGCCCTGCCCTGGCCCCCAGAGCCTTCCACAAAGGAGATGCATCCCGCTGTCTGTCTCTCACCTGTTCAGTGCTCCTCACTAAGCTAACTTCAATCCTTCCTGCTGTAGGGCGAGCCTCTCTCATCTTGCTCCACCAGTGGTGCTCGTGGTACCTCTAGTCCCCAGGGACGCCAGGTCGCTGGCAAAGCTGGAGGAGAGAACCTGCCCTCCCCATCCCCACCCTCGTCCCCCCTGCTAGCCAAGAAGGGTGAAGGGGTCCTGGCTTGGTTTCCTTTAAATTGTGTGTGTTCTTCCCCCCCCCCCCCTTGCGGCAGGATCTTCTGGAACGCAGGGAATACAGGGAGAACAGGGTCAAACGTAATGATTAATTCTGTTCTCTTTAACGGGTGCCTTCGAGAGAGAACTCTGTCCTTGAAAAGTGTAGGTGTGGTAGAGAAGAGACCCTGGTTCTCAGAGAAATTCCTCATTTTCGGAAAAGCTAACAGACTCATCCTTTGACTAAGCCTCCCCATGACGACATAGAGCCACAACAGGACTGTTTAGCTCCCCTCCCCCATTTCCTTCTCTTTCTCTCTCCTTCCCTCCCCACGCCCCTCCTCCCCTTTCCTCCCTCCCTCCCTTCTTTCCCTCCTGCCACTTCCCCCTCAACTTTTCCTTTTCTTCTCCCCACAAGACAAGGCAAGATGCATAGGCAGGACCCGCCACAGGTGGATGGAGGCTGCTCGGCCGGTTGTGTCAGTGCCCACATGGCGGGATGTCCCCGGCTCTGGTGACAGCCGAGCAGGGGGACTCCCCCTGCCCCGGAATTAACAGAACTTCCAACAATGAAAAGGCAGAGCCTGCATCCACACAAAGCCCGAGGCTGTTCTCTCCACCTCTCCCACGTATGTCTTTCACCCAGGTGAATCTGGACTCAGTTATCTGGTGCACCTGGCCAGGATTATCGGCACTAGGAACCGAGGCCGGGCTGAAGTTTACTACAATGGTGTCTGGGGGACCATCTGTGATGACGGCTGGGACAATTCAGATGCCACCGTCTTCTGCCGCATGCTGGGCTACTCCAGTGGAATAGCCATTACCAAAATACCACCTGGTGAGTGGGTCCTCGGCCAGGAGCCTCTTTCCTGGAAGTTTTCCCTTTGGTTGCAAGTGACCCAGTGAGTTTGGGTTAAAGAAAAGCATCGGCTTAAGCAACTGAAAAGTGCTTAGTGCACTGAGCAGTGCTGCTGCTCAGTGCCTTCCAGGCTGGCCACCCCATGACAAAGAGGACCTGGACAGCAAAGGCTTGGCTGAGGCTCTGGCTGACCTGGCTTGGGCCACTGTCCATGCAGCCAGGGAAGCCAGATTCCTCCATGGCCAAGGGTGTTGGTGAGCCGTGGCTCTCTGAAGGACAGTGAGGTTGCTGGTCGTGGAAGAACAGAAAAGTTGCAGGGTAGGCAAACACAGGTGTTCATCTCAGCTATCTGGAAACTAGAAGCCAGGAATGGCCATGCTGTGATCATCCTCAAGGAGAAGGTACAAAGGGAAAAGAAAACAAATCAGAGCAGGGACTTCCTAAAATAAGTTTCGGAAAGATATCCCGGGGTGCTAGAGACTCGACCTATCTCTTTCAGCAAAAGGTTCAAACTTTCAATAAAGTAGTTAGGTCCCCAGGCTGAGACCATTTCTTTGGCCACAAGAGCAGACCTAGCAAGGACACTAGGCCATCTTCTCCTGCCCCCACCCCCAAACGCTCTCTGCCTTTCCTCCACCCTATAGTGCCTTCTTGCTTTTTAACATGAGTTCCAGTTGGATTATAAAACTCCTTTAAAGTATGTATTTTCCTCGTATAGATTACACTTAGGTAGATTGCTACACTGTTAACTGTGTGTAAAAGTGTAAGTTACTGTAACCAAATACAGATCTTCCTGGGTTTATGATGGGGTTACATCTCAATAAGCCCATAGGAATTTGAAAACATTGTGTCGAAAATGCATCTAATACATGTCACCTACCAAATATCACAGCTTAGTCTCGTCTGCCTAAAGGGTGCTCAGAACACCTACACTAGCCCACAGTTGGGAAAAATCATCTAACACAAAGGCTACTTATAATAAAGTGTCGACTAGCCCATGTCATTGATTGAATACTGTAATGACCTTAATGCCGTCATGAAAGTGACAAACAGCATGGTGGTCTGGGTACAGAACGGTTGTTCGCGTATCGTATATCAGTTGTTTGCTCTCGTGATCACCTGGCTGACTAGGAGCTTCTGCGGCCCAGCATCACAAGAGGGCATCGTCCCACATATCCCTAGCCTGGGAAAAGACCACAGTTCAAAATCCCAAGTATGATTGCACCATCATCAAGTTGGAAAATCATAAATCAAACCATCGTAAGTCAGGACTGTCAGTCATCCCGCTGTTTTCCTCTGTGCTGTTGATCTGAAATCAATTATATCCGAAGGAGGAGATTTGGAAGAATGTGTGAATGCTTTTGAGCCAGGGAACGACCTGGTTCAAAGGGCATTTGAGGAAGGTGGGTACGACGGTAGGGACTAAGCAGGAAAGAGACAAACACTGGGAGGCCCCCAGGAGGAAATCTCAAACAGAGCAGAGATTAAGTATTAATAATTAATAATAGATTATATATCTGTATCTTAATCTATCTCATCTAATCTTTGGATGAGACTTTTGTTAAAGGGCAGAAAGCAGGAGGGAGGCAGAGTCACGGCAGGAGAGCCCGAAGGGCTGCGAGGGAAATTGGTCGTCTACCCCAAATGTAAGTTTGGCCCTAATCCTGCTCTCCTCTACCTCCCCGCTTTCCCTACATCCAGGCAGTGGGGAAATCTGGCTGGATGACGTTGCCTGTCGAGGGACAGAGATAAGCCTCTGGAGTTGCCAAAAAAGCAACTGGGGCTCTCACAACTGCAACCACAATGAGGATGCTGGCGTGGAATGCAGATGACCCCCCACAGCCCCTCCACCATGCTGTGCCCAAGTGTCTGCAGACATGGACACTCAACTCCTCTGTGGGGGAGGACCAACACTCTCTGAGGGGTCACTCTGGGCTGGGGCCACCAATAAAGCTCAAAGCACGACCTGGTAATGTCTTCGGCTGTGGCTGAAATCACTAGTTCATACCTCCCGTCCCTTATTGATGAGCCCACTCAAGGGACACATGTCACTGAGTTCTCACAGGGGGACAGTGAAGTCTCAACTTATAGCCAGGGGGAGGGTGTGCTCGAGGGGCACCTAAATGCGACGTGGAAAGTGAAGAGTGCCTGTAGTCAAAATGAGGAGTGCCATTCCCTTCCCCTTAAGCTCCTTCACTGGAGCTGTTCGCCAGCAAATGGGGAGGTGGGCACGCGGTTGACACCATGTTGCATGTAAATTGGAACTGTGCCTTTAAGCCTGAAAATTAGTTTTCTTAGGATGTGAGCTCCATAAATGAGAGGACCGTTGTCTGTTTTAGTCACCCATGTAGGGGCTCAGTAAACATGTATTTACTGAATGACCGAATTAAACCAAGAAGGTAGAGCAGCTCATGTTCTGAACAACTTGGCTCCCGCCTTCTTTTTCAGGCTTCCCCTGGGTTCTATACTTTCTGAGTGCAATCTCACGTGCGTGCTCTTTCTCTCTCTCTCTCCCTCTCTCTGAACATCTTCTAATTAGTCTCTTCCCTGCACTGCACAACACCAACCACCTCTTCATTCTCCAGGCAGCTGCCTGGGAGATCTTCAGAAATGACAAAGAAACCACCATACTGATCCCTGCCTAAAGCCTTCAGTGGCTCCTCCTTCCCTGAGGCAGTGGGCTACACTCATCACCTGGCTTGCAAGGAAATGCCCCTGACAATCGACCCCACACTTCCCTCCCATAACCTTGATGCTTCATTTCCTCTCTATGTTACATCCAGTATCTCCCACACATCACATGACAGGCTCTTGCTATCTGTTTTCTGATTGATTCCCTGAAGGAAGGAAGGAAGGAAGGAAGGAAGGAAGGAAGGAAGGAAGGAAGGAAGGAAGGAAGGAATGCTAAGCAGAGCACTCTGCTTTTCTGCACTGGGATTGCTTCACAGTCTTCCCGCAGCTGGAGGGCAGGTCCTGGTGCATCATACTCTAATTATTGTGACTAAGGACCCCCCACTCAAACAGTTTCCCAGGAACGAAGGAATGGTTTTCTCCAAAGGTGAACCTACTCCTCGGCCTTTTATATTTTATAAGGTTGGCTTTCAAAACAAATTCATGGAGCCTGTGATGTACTAGGTGTATTGTAAATTTTAAAAGTTCATCTCTTCCTGCTGCCTCAACATCCCCACAAACACGCTGGGAGCACCCAGTCCCCTTCCTACCTCCCATGACTGTGACCTAGTGCTGGTCAAACACCAAAGGGCACCAAGGAAATCCCTTCGTGCCCTTTGCCTGTGTACCTACCCAGCCCCCAGGTAAAGGCCCTTTACCCTCGGGTTCCTCGAGGTCTCTCAGCTCCCCACCTTCGTGGCTGAACCTGGTCCCTTGGCGCTCTTCCCACATGGCCCGCCCTCTTGGCCTGCAGTGACTCTGTCTCTCTAGGACCTGTGAGTTTAATAAACTTTGTTTTCCTGCACCTCTCTTGTACCCCTCTTGTGGCAGCCCCTGACTGACCATCCCCTAATAGGACAGGGAACACTAGAGCATCACATGATATGTGATATTATTCCCATCTTCTAAATGAGCCAGAAGAGTCACAGCAAGGTTAAGTGATGCGGTATGTGGCTCCAGTTCATCACCCTTCTGTCCATGGCCTTCACAATGCGACTTCCCAGCTCATCATCAGAAGCTTGGTTTGTTGCTCGTTCACTCTCTGGGCATTCCTGGCACACTGGGGGGAAAAGTGAGCATGTGGAGCAGGGTCCCGTTACCCCAGGTGAGGCCATCCTTCATCAGCCAGCCTCTAGCCGGCCACAGTCCCAGTAGGGAGTTCAGCCAAGGCTGGTCAAGCCTACCCCACATCTGAGGAGCTAACTGTCCAACCAACGCACGAACTCATGAGCAATCACAGTTGGTTGTGGGTTAAAGCCTCTAAGTTTGGGGTGTGGTTTGTTATATAGCAATAACCACCTAATAAAGTGAACTTGACTAAGGACCCACAGCCGGTAAGAAGCAGAGAGGGGTTTGAACCCAGGGTCTGTCTGACACCAGTAAGATTAAGAGACAAAGGAGAGTTGCTGCCCCCTGCGCGTCTGCTCAGGCAGCTCCTCTCATAAGCTCAGGCCAGGCTAAGCTGAGAAAACTCCCCTTCCAGAACCACGGGCGGAAGGAGGGTGGGCACGGCACGTGGCCGCAGTGCGGGCACACTGGTTCTGTGGCTGATGGGTGGCTGATTGTGGAGCCGAAGAGGAACTGGGTAAAATTAGCATGACGCTCTTCAACAGCCAGAGAGCAGACTGGGGTGGGGGTGGCGCCGCAGAATGTTCGGCATGACCTCCTAACCTCTGTGAGACACTGCTGTTCACTTGAAGTAGTTCTCCTTCCTCCTGCTTCCCCTTCCGCTGGCTGAGGCCCACAGGACAGGCACCAACATGAGGCAAGTTGGGCTGAGCAGGACAGAGATGGCAGGCGTTCCAAGAACCCAGCGAGCACAAAGGCCTTGTCACTTCCTGCCCGACAGGGCAAGCCCAGAGAGCTTCCTGGCACCCAGCTAGAGAGACGCAGCTAAGAGCGCAGGTTCTGGAGCCAGACTGCCCCATAACAGGCTTCTACCTGGACAGTTCAGGTGTTGAAACTCTCTGGGTTCCTTGTCTATAAAATACAGTCACAAATTGCTCCCTGTCAGAGTTCTTGTGAGGGTTAATTGAAATCGTAAGTCAAAAGAAAGCATTTAACAGAGTGCCTGGCACCTGGTGAATGCTCAATGTTCCTTACTACTATCCTTCAAGACCCTCCACGGCCCACCCCTCGCCCCGGCACTGCCCTACTGGGCCCTGTGCCCCAGCAGGCAGGTTTTCTCGGGGCTCTCCCATCCGCACCAGGCTTGGGGGTAGGACACACTAGGACGGGGCGTCCAGGGCCCCACACAGAAGGAGTTGGCAGTGGGACAGGCTTACTGGGGGGTCAAGCTTGTGAAAGACAAAAAGGTAGGAGCAGGATGGGGCATGTGAGCCTCATGCCTGCTTGTCTACATGACTCTGCACGGAGATGCGGAGTGAAGACTGCCCCGCAGAGGCGGCTCATGCTGGGCAGGAATAGCCAAGCCCTAGACCCTCCCCCTGCCCCCTTCCGACCCTGGCCAGGCTGCCCCGGAAGTGCTAGGCCTTAACCTGGAAGCGCGAGGCCTTGACCCGGAAGCAGAGGTGAATAACGAAGCGCCAGCTCGGGGCCAGCGTCTTTGTGCTCCCGCAGCTCAAGGGCGGGTTCTCTCTTGAAGCCGGAGACCTAGGAGGTCGTCTGTGCCTGCTGAAGAGGGTTTGGGGGAAAGAGTATGGGATTTGGGATCAGTTTCAAATTCCAGCACCAATGACCAATTGTGTGACTTTGGGGAAATCACATAACCTCTCTGAGTTTCTGTTTTTCCATCTGTAAAGGGGGGAATAATGATGATGATAAAAATAGTAATAATATACTGGCTCGTGTGGATTCACGGCTGTGCTCTTGGCACATACTGGGAAATGAATAACAGCAGCATTTACTAGGACAGCTTGACCCCAAGCTTCTGTTCTAACTTAAATGGCTCCACACCCAGAATATTCCACCCACCATGCCAGAATCCTTTCCACCCTTTATGGCCCAGTTCACATTGTACCTCCTTTAGGAAACCTTTTCTGGCGATTCTCACTCCAGAGAAAGCTTTCCTTTCTCTCACTTCCAATAGCCCGTCCATGTAAGGAAGGAAAAATCAGCACAGAATCCAAGATTTTCTGAGGGCTGACTGTGTGGTATGCGCCGTGCTAGATGCATTCTATTTTTGTGCTGGTTACCCTGATCTTACTTATTCTTCACAGCAACACTGAGTGGAATGTTTCCTTATTATCTCCATTTTATAGATGGGAAAACTGAGGATGGGAGAAATAAAATGACTTTTCTTTGGTCATTAAAACTCATCTCCAGGTCTTCTAGCTCTGAATACTTTTTTCTTTGTGCCATGCTGGACTCAAGAAGCATTCAGAAAATGTATATTGTTGCAACATAGGAATCTGCATTAAAATCATATGCAAATGACACTCCCCTGATAGGGATGTTCTAAGTCTTTGGAATTTGTTCATTTAAAAGCTCTTCCGTTCCCCTTCGTGGCAAAGTAATCAGAGGTGAATAAGATCAAATCCAGGAATATAAACCATCAATTCACAAAAGAGAGACCATAGGCCAATAACCATTTTTTTTTAAAGTTCATCCTTACCTTCAATAAAAGAAATGCAAAAAAAGTGAGGTCATTTATTTGCATGTCAAATTGGCAATTAAAAAAAAATCCTTGGTGTTGGTCAGAAAAACTATGGCCATTAACCCCTCCTTTCCCTCTGCCTTTCCTCCCACCTCCTTTCCTCTGAGCCCCAAACGCCTGGATCCAGCCAGCAAGATGGCGCTCAGCATAGTTTAGAACGGTTCGCTGGCTCTTTCTCTGCTCCATGGGCAGGAACTGTGTTTGTCTTGGTGGACTCCCATTATTCAGCACAGTGCATGGAACACAGTGTATATATATATATCATGTATGTGTATGTATGTAAGATGTATATATATATATATATGTAATAATTTTTAAAATATATATGCTTAGGGGAAAAAATTGGAAAGAAACAGCGAAATGTCTCTCTTTGGCAGGATTATGATTGATTTCATTTTAATTTTATCATGGCCTTTATTTTTTTTTATTTTTCCATGAGTATAGATTTATCAGCAGAAAAGAGATTGTTATTTAAAGCAAACAAAAGTACAATATGCATCATCAAAGAATCCAGAATCTTCCCCGTCCTGGGCTCAGACTTTCAGTCCTGGTCCCCCTTTGTGCCGCCGTGTGTTGCTGAGTGTCCTGGAGTGCAGGC